TAGTCGTCAGTTCCCTTCATGCCTATATTCAAGCATGTGTTTAACATTTTTGTAATGTGGTCAGCCTCACCTGAGCAGAACCTGATAGAAAAACCTGCTGCACCAAACTGCACGCCACCTTGCTTGGATGAATGTTAGATTATCTAGCGCAAGCATTCAGGCACTCAGCCATCCTGATTTGAATTTCTAGCACAAGAACCGGGAGGTGGCAGTGCCTCCGTCTTCTTCCCCTTGCACATCCTGCCTCTTCCAAAAAAAAATAATAATAATAATAGTGGGAAAATCTTCGAACAACTTCAGTGGGAGCAGAATTGGGTGCAGTTGTTGAAGATTAGCTAGGAAATTATCACAGTATTGTATTGGAACTTAACTACAGCTCATCCCTTCCTCTGCTGCTTAGCTGAGTATCTAATGAACTAGAATCCATGTGATATGGAGGAACAGGCCCAGATGTGTTCTGTTTCCCTGAGTAGCCATGCCCCAGTATTAGAGTACTACAGACACTGCACAAAATCAAGCTGTAATCCTGCTGCCTTCTATGCTCTTTAGTATTTTCATTTATGCAACAAAAATAAATCCTAACTACATTTTTTAAATAAAGGCTTGAGATATAGATAGATAGAGATATATATCTATCTCTATCTCAATAATTTATATAATCTCTCTCTCCAGATGTATATCTAGAGAGAGATTATATATATTATTGATGTCTGTGTGTGTATATACATATTGTTGATGTATTATATTTTAGGTTTTTCTTTTGGGGAAAAGGGTAGAAACTAGGTAGGGAGTCCAGAGGCATCTGGTCCATTGCTATACTATATAAGCAGTGCACCCAAAAATATGAGCATCCCCTACAACAGTCTTCTGGTGGGGAAAATGAAACAGGAATAGGTACCAAATGTGAATGAAGTGGGTTTTTTTTTACTTTATCTTCCAATTTAATCAGTATCCCATTGAAACTCATCTTTGTTTCTCATCTAATTGTGCAGGCTGAGCATTCTTTCCTCAAATAATTTTTTTTAAGTGCTGTCTGGATTTAATGGAGTGTATCTGTAAATATGGGAACTGGGTAGCCAAGTGAGGGTCCTGTTTGGCTTCAGTAATTTATCAGCCATTAAAATATTCAAGTATACAAAATCCTTTGTAGAAAATTCAGTCTGATTTTTATTTTCTTTTGCAGCTGAACTTGTAAATAAAGATAATGTAGGACCTATCTGATGTCCAATTTAAACTGGGCAGTTGCAAAACCTCCCCATTTTTGTATGTACTGTAGATTAGTGTGTGTATAAGTGTTACTGTAGTGGGGTTTTGTCCAACAAGCCTGAAATTTATACTTTGAAATAAACTACTGGGTTTTTAACATGTTGAGTCATCTGTGATTGGTTTTCTGGTCATCTCAGGAGACTCCTGTCTTTCACAAGTGACAGGGTTGCAGCTCTTTATAAAGATGCTGATGGCTGGAGAATGCCACAGGAAGTCACAAGAGTTTTGGACCTTTAAGCCTTTTCTCAGTGTTTTGGACTCCCATTTGTTGTTGGGAATAAGAAGAGTTGTCTCATTTTAATCTTTCAGCCTTCCAAAATAATTTCTCTAGCACCTCTTGCTGTTCCAGGGTCCCGTTTCACTCTGTAAAGCAGAGTTGCATAGGCTCTATGCCACAGGCTCTCCCAAGCAGACCACACAAGCTAATAGGTCATGTGTAGCTACCCATGTTAGAACTTGTCTTCTCAAAGTAGAATAGAAGCCTGGGTGTTACCCTTCCTTCCCCACCACCACATGCCCATTTTGTCCCTACAAAGAGCTGTCTTGTTGCTTGCTGCAATGTTGGCATTACAGCCCTGGACTGTCAAACTTAACTATGGTCCTAACTTTACACGCTTTGTATAGTCTTACTCAAGTCAATGGGTCTACTCAATGCATAAAGCTTAAATACACAAGTCCCTCCAGGCTCAGAGCCTACAAACAGCAATTCTAGTGAAGAGATAGGGGAATTTCTTCATGTGCTGCTATTCAAGGAATTCATACTTCTATAAAAGCTCCTTAGTTTAAGACGCTTAAGTAAGTTAAAGGTATCATGTGAATTGAATTTATTTAAAAAAAAAAATATATATATTTGGAAGGAAGCAAACCGACCCAGCAATCTGGGCAGGTCACATCACCTCTTTGTTTCCCCATCTCTGTCAGAAAACAGAAATTGTGGAGCATGGGTAGCCTCGTAGTTGTAGCAGAAGAATTAGTAACGCTAGTGTTCTGGCAATTCGTGAAACTCGGCTTGTCGCTAACCAAAAATTGGTTCCAATCAGACCACCAGCCAAATTCTAGGCACGGTTGTACTTGGCCTGTTTTAATGCATGTTGTGGTTTTATTTGAGATGAGAATCTACCTGTTGTACGTCGTCTGTGGGGCAGGTTCTGCTGGGTACTGAAGTGGTCTGCAACGGTCTTAGGCTGCGTGTTACACTGGAGGCCTAAACCCCTCTCTGGTTGATTCAGGAACCCTCTCCCTGCACCTAGTGTACTCATTAACCCTGGCACAACTCAAGTGCAAAACACAGCCAGGAGCCTTTTACATGCACTTTGCATTGGTGTAAACAACAGCCCGGGTGGGTAAGAGTGAATGAAGCCTACACCTTAGCTGTAGCGTCCCCTTTACCAGAGAGTACCACATTCTGAGCTGTGGCCACAGAAGAGCAGTGGTGCAGGCAAGATGCTCTGCCTTTACAACAGCACAGCAACTCTACTTTGGTGAATGTCTGCCTGTGAGAGCTTGAACACTGGCAGTCATGCTGGCTTGGACCTGTACTCTTGCTGCTTAAATTCTGATTCATGGGGCAGTTAATATTTCTGTATATGCTCCATGAATATGATATTACTAAGAATTAAATGGCCCCAGCTGAAAGACTCAAAGCTCCCCTTGGCAAATGTGAGCTCTTAATTTTCACTTGATTTTTGACTACAGAAAAATAATAGACCACTTCTGCTGTAAAGAACTCAGCAAGCCCACCACAGGTCAGAATGCTTTTGGCACTAAAGATTCCTATTTGAAACCCCTGGGTTTATCTAGAGTCACATTTGCCCACCTACCAGTGCTATTTTGTGGCACCCTGGTTAAGAATCATTGGTCTTGATAAACACTAGAGAATTTTATAGGCTCTGGATTGTTTCCATCACTTCTCTTCCCTCTCCCCCAGAGGGTTGGGTTTAGGGATTGTTTTTTCTAGTTTGGACCAAGTGCGTGTAGTTTATACACGCACTCTAGTGATGTATAAAACCTGTAAAATGTTCTTGTGCTCTGTTGCATTACCTTCTGCAGGAGGTACTTATGGATCCTTATGGAGGAATGTGGGCATAAAGACATTAGAACAGGCACTAGGGACAGTGGTCAGGGAGAATCTCCATGCTCACCTATCACGATCAAGTCATTTGTGTATAATCTGCTCAGGAAGCTGGGGCCTTTCCACATAAGTTCCCTGCCCTCCCCTTAAGGGGAAAGCCCTCCACCCCATGCAGTGATCTAAGTAAGGTTTTTGCCACTTTTTGTTTAGAGAGGATTTTCTTAAATGAAGGCTTTGTAATGATTTTTGTTACTGAGAATAATTAGGAAAGGATTTGAAAGTAACTGTATAACAGGAGAGCACGCTCCGTTACCTTGGAATGGTCATTGTAACGCTGGCAGCAAGCTCCCCTGGCTGGCAACCACGTTTCCAGTAGTGCCAAGCTCCAAACCTCAGCAAGTGACCATGTCCCTGAAGCTGAGTCAGGCCCCAGCAGCGTCCTTCGTGTTCTCATTCCAGCCTCTTTAGCAAGGCTGCTTAGTTCTTCCTAAAGTGCCTGCATTTCTGCTTCCAGTTCTTGAGCTTAGGCCAGCTTCTCTTGCTAAGTTCTGGGGCCCTAGGCCTTTGCTATGCAAATGAAGAGTTGAACAATCCCATCATCCAGGAGGTCTCTCATCTGACTGTCACACAGATAGCTGTGGTGGTCACTCAAGTTTTATAAACTAAATAACAAGCCAAATCCCATTTCCAGTTTAGAGCCCTGGAAAGAAGCACTAACAGCGAAACCTCACAAGAGTTGTGCTTCCATTCAACGAGAGCAAAAACAGCTCTTCTGTGCTACCCAGTGACACTGAAATGCACATAAGCATGCTGCCTTCCATGACAAATGGACTTCATCAGTATTTATAACCCTTCTAGTAACATAAGACGTCCTCCACCTTCAAAGATACCAATCCTCTAGTAAGGATTATCCCATCAAGCAACTTGTTCCCCTGCTACAGGATTGCAGGTGACACACACACCCAAATATACTTCATCCGCTTCTTCATCATCCTCTCCCCAGCACGGGGACTCATGCTCAACTGACATTTCCCAACTGAGCAGCAGCGGATCCTGGAACCACGGGCAACAGGAAGTACAGTCTGGTGGCAGCAAGTGCCATTCCTTCATGTCGAGGGGAGAAATCACCGTGTCTGAAGCCCACAAGTCACAGTCCGCTGTCCCATGGCCTGTCCAGCCCAGACTGTACGGCTTGGACAGCACTGGGTCAGCAAGAACCCTTTAAGCAATGCCAAGCAGCCTTTGGTCCCCCTGACCTCATCTTACCTGACAAGCTGCAGTCCTTCTCAGGCTCCTGGAAGACCACTCAATCCTTTAAGAGGCCAGCAGGCACCAGGTGTCATACTACTTCCTTAGCCAATGCAGTGCTGTGCTTTGATGCCTTGAGCTGCAGATGGCAGCACTTCGACCAGATGGTTTGCAATCTTACTTTGTAAATAGGAAACCTGCGTGCAAGATGCAGGCGCAGTGACAGCATGAGGAAGGATGTGGCTGCTTTGCAACCTGCATGAGAGCTTGAGTGAGGCTCTGCTGCCACCTGGCAGCATGCAGAGTGAAGGACCCCACGTAGATTGAGGCAGTGTCAGAGAAGGAAGGCCCCTCCCCCCATCCTGGTAAACTGCAAATAAAGCCATTAATCTGGATTCTTAACTGAAGAGAATTCTGGCACCTAAGAAAACCAAGCAGTGTTTATTAAAGATGTGCTACAGCAGGAACAGAGGTAAGTGCTGGGCTGGAGAGACTGTGGGTAGAAATGGGACTGATCTCTGCTGCACACCCTGGACAAGTTGTGGCCTGTGCACTTGTACTGGCTGTACGTACGTGTGGCTCGGGGCACAGGCAGTACCAGGCAAATGTCAAACCCACCACAGGTGGGAAGCAATTGCTGTGCTCACAAGAACGCTTGCAGTAAAATCAAAGAGCAGCACTGTCTGGCTGGGCCCAGCAGAGCCCCAGTAATAACAAATGAAAAGTCCAGTTTCGTTGCTTGCATCCCCTTGCTGCTGTTCAGGTGGTGCAACAGCTCCTGCTGCATGCCCTGTGTTGTGGGCTGCTCTTCTGCATCTTGATGAGTTGCTTCGCTTCCATTTGCTTTACAAAGTGAACTTGTTCCACTCCCTGTCCCCACTTGCACTGGGACTGACAAGTCCCTTCTTTCCCACACTTACAGCTGGGTCGTGCATAGCTCCGGGAGGATTCCTCCCTTTACATGGCTGCACTGCATTCGCCTGTAGCAAAATCAGAGACACCTGGGCTGATGTCCCTTGGAATAGGTGACTGGTCTGTGTGCAACAGCAAACCACATCTGCCTAGGTTTAAATCGCTCATCCTTGACTTGAGCCCAGAGACTCCCATTGCATCTGCTGATTTGAGGTAAGACCAGAAATACGTGACCCTTTTCCCATTAGAACGCAGAAGAGAACTTAGCACACTGGACTGTGAGTTCTGGGGGGAGGGACTGTGTGTGTACATACAGTACCTAACACAAAGGGCCCCTGGACCCTGACTGGCTCCTAGATACTACCACACCAACAGTGGTATCTCTCGCCCTGGCCCTTCACAGATGTCGAGGTTTTTCACAAGGGTGTTAAATCACCCTCCGCTGTGAGGTGGGGGGGGCAGGCGATAGTATTAGAAGTTTGAATGGGCTGCCCAGCCACAGCTCTCAGTGCACCTTACACAGGAAGGTAAGCAACTGCACCACTTCACAGTGGAGTGACCAACCCAGCAAACCTTCCTATTTGCTGCTGCTGGGTGCCCATTTCCTCTCCTCCCCTGTGACTGCACTTCATGAATAACCCACGATAGCTCTTATAGCCCAGATCCCAGAAGAGCACTCAGGTGTCTAAGTCCCAGTGATTTGCATGGGCCATAGCCACCTGAGCATCAGGGAGGATCTGGGCATACCGCACCATCTTGCCCCTTTGGTCCCGGAGAATGAAGCTTTAGCAGCCAGAAGAGCAGAGAGAGAGAGCAGTTAAGGCACAAAGGTAGGGACGTTCAGGCCGTTTCATTGCATGTGGGAAGAAAAGATTGCAGGGAGAAGAAAAAAATCTACTTTCCTTCCCTGAAAAAGTGATGCTGGCTTCACAGGACTGGCTTCATGGTGACAAAGTTAAAATTGTAGGACTCAGGCAGGCCCTCGTGTCGGGTCTTGTTGAATTTTTTCCAGCTGAAGACAGGGAGCCCGTCCTGTACTGAAGGGCCATTGATGGCACTGGATGCAAATGCCCCCGCCATGTGGAAATCAGACACCTGTAAAGGACAGGGGTTAACAGCAAAGGCCCAAATGCTGCCTCGCTTCTGAGGCAGAGGTACAGCAGGAAAGGAGAGGCCACTTAGGACAGCCCAGGTGGATATGGGCAGGAGGGAGGGACAAAACTATAGTAAACATCCGTGATCTGGGCACTATCTCCATGCACAGACAAGCTGCCCAACCCTTTAACAACCGCTGCCTGGCGTAATGCCAACTTAAGGCCCTGGGGGGCAAGTGTGTGGCTACTGCCCTATAGCCATCCAGGCTGCCCCAGTGGTGTCAAGGCAACTGATCTGCTCACTGGGGTGTGAAGACAGCCCTACAGCTGCCCCAACGTCCCTCTGGGACTCAAGAAAAAGGATACAAAGAAACACAAAGGTAGCCCAAAGCTACATTTGCTGCACTAACTTTCCTTCCTGTCCCAGGCACAGCTGCCCAAATGGAGGCCTCATAGATTCCCTCAGGTCCCAGGGCTCTGAGCATGCACTTCTCCTCCAGGCTTTGCAACAGAAATTGAAACAGAAGCGACTAAACTCTCTCCTCTCTTCTCCTGTTTCATGTTAGCTCCACTTCCCTGCCCTTGTTGCCAGATCCCAGACCTCCCCCTCTCCCTGTGCTGCTGCCATTGCCACCTGAGCATCACAAGATCTGAGCAAGAATGGCACCAGCCACCTGTTCCTCCATACAGAGCTGGTTCTGGACTGCTGCTCAAGTGACACTCATCTCCAGTGATCCCCAGCTGCTGCCCTGCAGGACTCCAGGGGGACAGGGAGGAGGGGAGACTCTCACAACTGGCTCTGCCAAAGATGCCAGGTGGGGCCTGTCCCTCAGCCTCACTCCACGGCCAGGGAACCAGCCAGTCCCAAGAGGGTAAAATACCCTCAGACCCACCAGTGCTTCAAGGGTTAACATTTATTTGCTCAATGATTGCACCAAGAGCAGAGTAGCTGTAAATCGCCTGGTAAAAGCTGCTCCTCTTTACTGAATCTTGAATGTGAATGAGAAGCAGCAGTCCTGAGCAGCTCCAGGGAGGAGTCCACATGGTTCCCATTAATGGGAGCAGGCAGCTGCTTGGCCCCTTCTCCCTCCCTCCATGATGCCCTAAGAACAAGGAAACACACTGAGGTGGGACTCTCATTTCAGCTTCTGCTCTGTTCCTGAGCCCAGCCTGCTGCCAGGCTCTAGCAGACTCTTGATGGGGTCTCATGTAGGCAGAGAAGACAAGTATGCTCTCAAATACCATGGGCTCCTGCGTGCCACCACCCTCTCCCAGGCTGCTGCATCTCTCCTGTGCCCCTGCCGGTGGGCACTGACCCTCACCTTCCCAGGGCTGCCCTAAGAATGGGAGCAAGGGGCAGAATCTATCTGCAAGGCAAAAGAGATGGAGACCAACCACCACTCACTGGCAGGAACCCCCATCCCATGAGCTGGATGCCTCCTCCATCCCCACCCCCCAGTTCTCTTGGGGTATGGTAAGTCCCAGGGATGGTGGGAGAAGGTTGGTCGAAAACTACTACGAGCCACAGCAAGTTGCCTGTGGGGGGGTGTTCAGCAGGTCAGCCAGTACAGCCATCCTTCACCCTAGATGCTCTCACATGCACAAAGTGTGTTGGCTATGACGTTTGGGCTTATACCCTGGCAGCAGCCTGAGGCCAGAGAGGGGGGCCACCTCTCCAGCCAAGGTCACACCTGGAAGGAGTGCAGGCAGGCTCCCTGCCTCCACTCAGGAGGTGCAGCAGTGGCCACACGCTCTAGGGGTTTTTACCTTAGTGTCATAGCAGCCTGCTGGCACTGGCAAAGAAGGGTTCAGGTCTTCCCGGCAGCAGATGGTGTTGCAGGGATTATGCTGGGCATAGGGGTCCTTCAGGTAGTCTGGGAATAAAATGGAGGGGAGAGAGGAGTTGAAGTTTGTCTGCTCTCATGGAGTCCCTGGTGGCAGACATTGTGACCAGATGTGATGCAGACAGGCAGGGAAGTTGCAATGCGTGAAAAGTGTCTTGTAGAAGAGACTGGGGGTAAGAAGGGGAGGACAGGGGATAGTGAACAGCTCCAGCCTGAACTTTTCTTCTGTTCTCGACTTAAAAAGAAAATGGCAAGTAGCCAGGTCTGGCAACACCCCCTGCAACAGGAGGAGATAGAGGATGCTGGAGGCTCTAACCAGCTGATCCTAGTAACATACTATTGCTCAGTGCACCAATGAAAGACAGTCCCACCCCTGCCCGTTCCCTGGCCCCTGGCAGGATAGGGGAGAGGATTTCCAAGATCCATGTGTGACAAGTCAGTGCAACCCTATTATGTGGAAAAAGGAATCTAAGTAAAACATCTCTGGCCACCTGCACCTAGAAATGGTGCTTAATCAGCCTGCCCTAGTGCCTGAGTCCCACTGAAGAAGTCCGGTCAGTGGCAGGAGAGGCCTGAATCCTGAAGGGCATTCCAGCGGAGAAGCAGCATCCCCATGCCTAGGACAGTAGGGCTCAGGGTCACTGCGCACTCCTGTCACGCAAGCAGCAGTAAAAGCAATCAGATCAACACATAATAGGTGGGTGCTTACTGTTGTATCTCATGATGTACTTCATGCTGCCCAAGTCAATCACCTTCCCTTGGTCCCGCCGAAAGATTTTTGCTCTGGGAGCGAGTTCATAAGAGAAGTCCAGCCCATACTTCTGGACATATGCTTCATACCCACTCTGGCTGTAGATGTTTTTGTGGAAGGGGATGTTGTAAGAAGGCCAGTATCCTGCAAGAGAAGTCGTCCATTCCTTTAGTTAATCGTATGAGCAAACTCTGTTTAAAATATCTGTTAGTTTAAACACCATGTTTGTCCTGACAGCACACAACCAGAGATGTGGCACAGACCCTGCTCGACAGCAGCAATATGGCCATTGCAAATATGTGAGTTAATACACAGGTAAGTGCACTGCTGAAGCTGTGTTTGGAGAGCCCTGTCCCTCAGACATCCACTGTGAAGACCTGCCCTCAAAGCAGCCTGGGCCAGCCGCAAGCTGGGCTTACAGGAGTCTCGTGGTATATCCAGGAGAGACCAGAGTAATTCAGATCAAATCTGAAGAGAGTAGGGCACAGATCACATTTCACCTCCCCTCACTGTCTCTGCAGCAAGCACATCTCGGCACTGTTGAGCATCCTTCTTTCCAGCTGAAGAGAAGGGAAAATATCCTCAAATACAGAATGCCCCATCCCAATGAGCCAGAGGCCTAATGAAGTGCTGAGAAATGGGCCAACGCATGTACAGCAGCAAAGGGAAAGAATATGGGCCAGGCCACTGACCAGACCAGGATCCCTGGCATCAGGAATTCCCTAGGGTCCCCAAACAAAAGGCAGGAAGAAGCCACAGCAAAGTCAGTCACAGAGCAGGAGACTGCAGTTTGAGAGCTATCAGAAGGGAACCACAGAAGTAATTTGCTACAGAGCTGATTGGAAGGTAACTCAGCAGAAAATACCTGGAGAAACAGCCAAGAGGCTGGTGCCAACCACAGTAGTGATGGCTGGAATGTGGCAGCTGATGGCATGCCGTGACCAGGAAGGGGCACAAGGGGATCATAGGAAGTCTTGCAGGTGCCACTACTAAAAAATATTGAAAAGTGAAAGAGACCTTCACTTCCCTGCTGAGTTTCCCCTGACAGCATGCAATGGGAACTGTGACAAGCACCAGAGGGGGAGCGCTACACACAAACCCTGTAGTGGCAGAAACCTGAAGGAAAAGCACATCCAACAGGAATGCCAGGGGGAATCCCAAGTAAACAGAATGCAAGTCCGAGCACTGGCATCTAGCCGCAGAGCTTGGAGGAAAAATGTCATGGGACTGTTCAGGAACAAGAGACTAGGATTACAGAGGTTTAATCCTAAAACAGTGTTTCGCAACCTTTTTGGACTTCAGGCAGCCCACAAAAAATGCCAGCTCTTAGTTTTCACTCATTTTTGACTACAGAAAAACACTGGAGCAATTCTGCTGCTGCCGAGAACTCTGAAAGATGAGAAGAGGTCAGCAGTTTTGAACACTGGATTCCTAGCTGGAATCTCTGGGTTTACCCTGTGAATCGTGTTTGCACACCTAGTAGTACTAACACTGTGTAGCACCCTGTGACACTTCTGAAAGGATCTCAAGGCACCTGGGAGAATCACTGACTTATGAGAAGGTAAACAGATTCCCTCACTATAGTTTTCTCTTGGGCCAAGGCAGTTCTGTTTAAGGGCTGCTACACAGGCAGTTTTAGCTCCACCCTGGAGCCTGGGTTTACCCTGGAGAGAGAGAGATGGGCACTTATGGAGTCATCAGCACCAAGTATGTGTTTGGTTGGGAGCCTGCCATTTAAATCCTGCCAGCTGTGACACTCCTGGGGTAGGATCTAGTTTTAAGATCACAGCTTGGCATGGTGCAGAGGGAGCAGGATTGGCTGCTGCTCATGTAACGAGCTGGGGCCTACCAGACAACTGCTACAGAAATCCAAACCAAGATTTTACAAAGTAAATCTGCAGCGGGGCACCAAGACTAGCTGAGTAGCCTGCTTCCTCGCTTTGCAATACATACAAGGCAGAGAAGTGAACCTCCCAGGTAAGTGAACAGACCATACCTACTTCTATGATACAACCTGGAGAAAGGAGAATCATATGTTTTTCTAAGCTGTAGCCCAAGCATTCTCTGTAGTTGGATGCACTTGGCCATGCTCTACAGGACGAGCTGGCCAGCAGATCAGCTTCCAAGAATATGAACTTCCAAAGGGAAGTGGTTCATTTATGATTTGGCAATAAATCTTTTACTGTCTCAGAGGGTGGCCCAGAATGCAAGTGCCTTCCCTAGTCCCACCTGGGTCTACACAGACCACTACAGCACAGCGAGCTCCTGCAAGTCCTCCTCAAGTAAAACCTCTGCTGGTCTTTTCCCAGTTCTGCCTGGCAGCTGTCCAGCTCCACGCAGACATTTCAGTGCCTCCATGAAAGCTGAAAGGAGGGTGTCACAGGCCTGCCTCTGTAACATATGAGTGAAGCCAGAAGATGAAACCTGGCAGCATGTGCAGTGAAAGGTGTGCTGGGGCAAGGGGCCCTGTGTGCAGGCAATAGGGATACTGCTGGGCCCCTACAAAGACCTTTTTCTTACCCTACACGTTTCTGTCCTCAGGTGCTACATTTTGGAATAAGGACAGTCTTGGAGTGAAGGATGAGACTAAAGGGCCAGGCAGACTCAGTTCTATTCTGGACTCAGGTACAGATGTGCTCTAGTCCTGTATTCAGGTTTCCACCCCGTTCCCTCCTTGAGACTGCCATGAGGTAGGTCCTTGACTACCTCAACTACAGCCAGCAAGTCCAGCTGCCTACAAACTGCAGCCTCTTCCTTCAGGTACAGACCTGTCTGCAGCACCCTCTGCCTTTGTTACCCCATGGGCTCAATCCTGACTGCCTGCAATTCTGAGGTTTATACCTAAAGGTCACCTAAAAGCTCACACTACTGCAAGTGCAGCTGACAGGGTGAAGAGGGCAGGAAAGCGAGAGCACATTACCCCTGCATTCACTTAGCTGTAACTCACAGCACCAGCGTCTGTTGAGCAAACTGTGAATGGTCTAGATCCCTGGTCTCTCAAGATCCTGCCTCTGCTGTGCTCCCAAAAGGTGCAGGTGCTTCTGTAGATTGGCAGCCTCTCCCAGGGCCAGTGATCAGAGGAGGGGCAGGCATTCTGGAGGGCATTGGAAAATTGTAGAAATGTATCTAAGCCTATGCCTGGCCAACATGCCCATCTACACTGCAAAGCTCTCCTCTTCACTCAGGCTTACGCTCCATGTAGCCCTGAAGCCCCGGTGCTGGCACTTAGCTCGCTCATGCTCACTCCAGCACTTTAAGAGCTGCTACTCTGGTGCTGCAGTGTACACGTTTCAGACTTTTGAACATACACAAGTTCAACGCGCTTGATCCAACGGAAGCAAAATGTACCCAGACCCTTTGGGGATAGCTGCATTACCAGTCCTCAGAGCAAAGTGCTGTTTATTCCCACATGTAATTTTTCCAGAGCAAATTGCTCTGGGATTTTTCCAAACTACTAAGTGCAACAAGCTTCTTGCCTGTTCTTCCCCTTCAAACCCTCCCATGTTTTTAAAACTTAGCCACAAATTATGACAAAAGCTGATTTCTAATGCATACTTCTGCTTTCCCCAACTGCTCCTGGGATGGCACTGAAACTGTTTCTTGCTTCTGCATCAACTCTTCCCTATGTTGTTCTTTTTCTGGTGCAGGAACAGACTGAGACCAGGTTTCCTTTCCTTGTTCTTGCAAAAGTTTAATTTTCCTGATCACGGACTGATTGTTTTTGTCAACTCTTGGGCCTTGACTTGTTCTCTTCCTACTGTTTTACTTAACTCTTTAATTCTCACTGCACATTTTCCATCCTGTCCTTCTCCACCCACTTGTGACTCCTTACAACCAACCACTCTGGAGGACAGCAGTACTCCACTAGAATCTCTGAGGTCACCTGCCTCCTGGTCCTCCATATACCAGAGCCATTACTAGCTCTGAGGGCTCCTCCCAGCAGGGGGAAGGGCGGAGGTGGAGGTGAATGAGCCAACTGGCAGCATGCATCTCACCCCCTCCTAATTGTTTTTTCTGAGTTTGCTAGGCATCTGAATGAGCCATCAAGATCAGCTTAGCTACTTCCAAGAGTAGGACTGAGCTTTCTCTGCTCACCCGGAGACATGTGACTAGGTGTACCCCTCATGTGATCCTCACGTAATTGAATGTTTAGGACTTTAGAAGCAGTACTCATGACAAGGCTGAGGGCAGTGCAGAGGAGTCCCTGAAAATCCTGAAGTGAGGGAATCAAGGTCATGTCCATATACAGCATGACCTCAGACCACAGCCTCCCTAGTTATAGCCCAATGGCACAAGTCAGGAAACACTTAGGGGTAGGGAATGCACAGAAGAGCCTAAGGTAGGCCCAGCCAGCCCGAATCAGACTTGCTCTTCTTGTCCTGAACTGAATGCAGGGTAGAAACATGTCAAATGAATTGCCAGGCAGGAAGCTGAGGATCAGAAGTGCAGATGGGGAAAGTAACTTCCTCTAAGCCAAGGTAAGACTCAGTTGGGAGAAATACAGAGCCATCCCCCCATCCCCCAGCTGAGCTGGCGTGACAATGTGAGAGTGTCCTCACAAAGGAGGATGTGCTAGAAGGAAGCAAAACAGACCATATCAGGAACAAAACCAAAGTGCTGCTGTACAGCATTGGTTTCAGCTTGGGTTAGCTTGGGATTGGAACAAGGTGCATGGGCCAACAGCCCTGGGGCCCATCAGAAACCAGGATCAGTCCACCCTGAACTGGCAGGACAGTCTCCCAGGTACCAGTGCCTGACATTAAGGGAGCCATCAGGGAGGACTAATACAGACTATATTGTTGTCAGCAGAGCTGGGACCCTCCTATTAGGCATCTGGAAGCCATGGTCTTTTGCCCAGGTAACTCAGTTAAACATATTGAATCAAGTCAGTTGGTCAGTGTTTGCTCCTGGGCAAGTTCTTGCCTCTTCCAAGGTCTCATATGAGAAGAGAGTTTGGCTTCAAAAGGCACCCCCAACTAGCAAGCCAGAGCAACATGGCACCATGGTGGGAGGGGCATCTGTCATGTCAACCAATGAGAAGGACAAGGGGGAGTAGCTGAGGGAGGTCACCTCCAGCCTCCCACCAAGTGGTTACCATCTTGTCTGGCTTCTGTAGCTGGATTTGGATCCATCAGAGTACAGAGGGGACAGCTCCCTTAAAAAGGAGGGAGCTACTGTACAGGAGTATTAGAAAACTAGCCTCCTTGCCTATAGCCTCTTGTTCCCCCTATCCTACCTCAGGTCAGCTGCTATCTTCTTTTCTAGGATTGGAGGGGTGATGTTAACCTAACCCTCTTCCCCACCCCATCTCTTCTCAGTCTGGTCAATGGGAAGAACAGCTAATGTGTCAGCTGCTCAGTTTCCAATCCTCACTGAGGGCCTGGCAAAAATATGCTCCCATCCTGGTCTTGCAACACATTGACTAGTTAGACTTCACAAACTGCAATGAGCTCCCTCACCCTGGCAATAAATAAAGTCCGATTGTGTTCATCTTCCCTATTTCCTCCTTAAGCCATTTTGATCACAATAAGAAATGCCAAAAGCCAAAAAAACAAAAACAGACCCTTGTTTCCATGCTTTACAGGATTAAAAGATTCAGGGAAATTTAAGGTGCATTAAAGAGTTTTATAACCCTTTTGTGGCTAACACCCTACCAAAAAAAATTCTGTATGCAATAATAGTCCCCAAAATATATGCTAGTTACATCCAAGGTGTTAGAGAAGAGGGCAGAAATGCAAACAGAAACAATCACCACAGCCCGTATCCTTCGTGAATTGTAATAGTAGAAAGAGGGGCCCTTCTCCAACTCATCACCTCTTTAGCAGCACAACCACAGGCAAGCATGCAGAATGCTGGATACACACAAGTATCTGGAGAACATTTGCCTTGTATAGGGCTTGATACTTGGCTGTTTGCATGATTTTTACTTGGCTTTGGGTTTGGTTTTCAGGCAAATTGTAGCTAGTTTTCCTGTCATTTGGAAAACAAACGTACACTGGATGATGTAGCCCCCAGGAAAACTTAGCCTAAAGGCTGCATCTGGTTATCATAGAAGTTTTCACGTTTCAAAACCTATTTTCTTGTGGGGGGACAAGCACAGAAAGGTTTGAGTGACTCCCATGGTCATGCAACATTAATTAAACAATGATTCTCTCTCTCCCAAGAAAAAAAAAACTCCAAACAAACAAGCAGGGAGCTCCATAACAGGGCTTGACTTTAGAGGGGAAAGTCAGTCAGGGAAGGAAGGTGAGGATCTCTACTTTGCTCTCCAGTGCCTCCTAAGAAATGTGTGTTACATATTTCATGAGACATTGCAGTTACAGCAGGTAGGAACCAACTTCATATAGAATAACAAAGTGCATCTCAAAAGCACTGAATGTCATGTAACAGAAAATTTTAGGGCATAGTCCCAACGTAAACCCTTCCCAGATGTAATACCATGCTCCTGTCAACTGAAACAAACAACTAACTTTTCCAAAGATATTATAGCAGCTTTTACCTCTGCGGAGAACATCGGTCTGATCAGAATATTCCACAAGTTCTGGGATCTGCTCAATGATGTAGAGTGCTCCATCATCAAGCCTCTTTTGCAGCTTGATCTTCTTCAAATCTAGAACCATGTACTGATTGTTATAAGTTCCTAGGAGACATTTAAGAGAAAACCAGATACTTCACCTAGTGCCTAGAGAATCAGGAGAGGAAGGGGGAAAACAGGCAGCATCTCCATTGTTTAGAGGCTCATATGAAAATGTATTTACCTGAATTGTACTTCAAGAAAGTTTGTGCCCAGGCTTTACCAGTGTCTGCCATCATGTTGGCAATGCGGACCCTCTGCCAAGCAAAGAGCGCCTCTGGCACAATTTGTTTCAATAGAGTGTTGTTCAGCACAGTGTTTGTTGTCTGCAACATCACCAGGCCACTGCCAAGCAAGTAAAAGTCATCCAAAGATATCAAAAACCCTAAAAAGAAAATAGAAAAATTTGGGTTTTTTTTGTTTGGTTGGTTGGTTGGTTTTTTTGGGGGGGAGAGGGGAGGTCTTACCATAGTTGTAGGACAAACAACAGAGACGTTATGATAAGCAATCATCCTATTTCTATATTACTGCTTATATAATTGTACACATCTACAGAATATGGATTTAAAGCAAGAACATTCCTTTCCATCTTTTAAAAACCACTAGCAATCTGTTTCAGCTTCAGATTTTTCAATTTTGAAAGCACAAGGTGTTTCACAACATTATCATGAATGAAGAACTGAATTATTAATTAGGGTAGGCAAGCCTCTTCCTCATTCCACCTAGTAAAATACAGCTAGCTCTATTCCTAGAAGTGACTACAAAAATGGGAATTTCATCATTGATTGTGCGGGGAGGAAGGGAGTATTTGTGGGTGTACTGGAGTTTTATCAGCTTCTCTTAGAAACAGGTTTACTACTATGTATTCCCATTAGCCCTGCAGAAAACGCAGCCAATGGACAATGAGCAATGTTCATTTCTGCCTCTGACTGCACATCAACAGAAATATTAATGCCCGTTAAGAGTCCATGCCACAAGAAGTACAGAGCTGAAAAGATAAACAACACCTTGGAAAACTAAAATCACAGGGATTGCCCAAGAGTCTTTTGCATAGGTTTCCACAGGAGTTGGGAGAGCAGCTTCTTCATCCAGGGGGAGCTCAGCTGGTGAATTCAGCGCTCACTTCTCATTACTGGTACAGCTTAGCGGGCAGTAAGGAACGACAGCCTCTGCCCACAGCTCTTCAGCTCTTCTTCTTGGTGAGTCCTGGCATAACAAGTTCGCAGGGTGCTACTTTCACCCTCTGGATAGCATGTCCTGTGAACATGTTGCTTGATGGAAATAGTATGGTAGGGACCTAAGTATGATGGCTTAGACTCTTACAGCACCTTCCATGGGAGGTTCTACTGGTTTGTTAAAAAAAAACCCCACCGAATTAAGTTCAGCAGCTCATGAAGTAAAATAATTATGGTCCCCATGTTTCAGATGGCGAAGTTGAGCACAGACCAAGCAACTTGTCTGAAATCACACAGTTGTTCAGTAGAAGGGCCAGGAATAGCCTCTTAGCTCTGCTTAACACTCCTGTGCTTTAACCAAAAGACAGACCATCTTCAAATGAGAAATACCAGGCCTGCAATGTGCATACATCCTCTATTAGAGCAAGAGCAACTTTGAAAACTTGAGCCATTATTCTCCTTCCCAAATCAGATCTTTTCACAGAGTACATTGAGAAGAGAATTACTTTACAGGAAATGGTTCTCTGAAAACGCAGTAGTGGTAGAGTAGTCCTGGAACAGACAGGAAGGGAAAACATGTAGCCTCAGTTTTGGAGTGCTGAGTTCCAAAAATTAAAATGTAGCAACAGATAAAATACATCCCATACACAGCTTTCTATAATCAGAAATGGAAGAGCAACTAGCTGCTTCAAGAAGACCAGAACGGAGGTTTCACTGTTGCCAGTCTTTTAGATGGAAGGTATTAGATACCAGAGTGATGAGCCACAGCATAAATACTTACGGAAACTAGAACCAAAATAGTTCAGCTAGTCGTAAGTTCATACCTTGAGTGATTTCAGTGCCTTCCCTTGTGCTTCAGTTTAAACAGTACCCTATTTTAATAAAATGTAAGGGTTGGGTTTTTTATTTGTTGTTTCTTAAACAAATGAAGCTATGTTGAAATAGCATACACTGGATCTGAACCAAACTTTTCAAACTGGCAATGATATAACTCAAAATGGGAATTATTTACTAATGGCATTTTAAAGTAAAAATAATCAAAAGCCAGCTAAGCCAAAAACAAGATTCCTTTCTCCTGGACAGTCCCATTCACAGGTTTTACTGAAGAGTGTTGGGGGATGAAATGTCCTCTGCCCTTTCCTAGTCTGACTGCACAGGTGCAAACATTCCATTGTGGCCTAAACAATTTTACAGGCAGATCCTGGGTGAGGGAGAAGTTAAATCCACACTACAGATTCACCCAAGAGAAAAACTGTCAAAAAATAAGCACGTGTGAAACTTAGAGATATCAGCAGATGGTAGGATTTCTGTTCTGCCGTCCTTGTCTTTTACACTGTGTTTAAGTAAGCATGAGAGTTTGAAGTCATTGAAACTGCCTTTTATGTCACCTGTTGCCTTTCCATAGAATTCATTGACTTCATCTGCAAACCAAACTCCCATTGTCATCAACAACAAACAGTTTTCTTGACTGCACCCCTTCCCTTCTGTATCAAACCAATACAAAGTACTTCTGAGGGTATTTTGTGGATTTGAGACATTTTAGATTTTCTCCAGACGTCTGTAGACAGCTGTGATTTTTCTAAGACCCTGAGCCTCATTCATCACACTACTATTAATTGGCTGAGAAAAGCAAACTAGCTTTAAAGGCCTGGGCTACAGAATTCTCTGGGGAGTCAGTGCAATGAGCAGAGCATGGGAGTGATGTGACCTGTGAGTCACTGTTAGTAAAGGGTTTCTGCCTTTTAGTACCAAAACTCTTTTGTGTTTTAAAAGGTCAACAAACTCATTATAGTACAGCTAGATGTGCTAACTTGGCCTGGCAGCAACAGAGACACGTGGCTTTTTTGTCGTCACTTCACAGTAAGGGGCAGAGCCTCTTGGCTGAGTCTAGAATTCCATGACTATTCATGACCATGACTACTTGGGAGCAGTCTCTTCCTCTCTTTCCTCCTCTACCCCCTCTGTTGCTCCCTCCTTTTCCCTATCTTTCCCTCTCTCTCCCCCACTTCCCTCTCCCTTTCTATAAGGAGGCCTAATGAGATGCTCTTTCCCAGGGAAGCAGGCATATCCTTTAAGTTTTCTGTGTCAATGAAGCAGTTCCCATTCTGATCTTTCACACTGAAGCTTCCTTTGAATTCCTGAATGTGAATGTGTACCACAAACACGATGGATTTTGCATGAAGAGGCCACTTCTTCATGCTTTTGTTTAGCAGGCAGGATGCTACCTCCTTCCCTGGGACTGGCTCCTATCATAGTGTTCTGGATTCCTCTACGGCACTGCTCCATGCTTCATGCAGTTTGGCCTTAACCAACAGCTACAGATGACTAGTTCCCCAGCCTGCTCCACTTCAAATGTCATGTGCTGTGTTAGATTCAGTGACAGCATTGTTGCATTCATGGCTGTGGGTGCAGTGTTAAGTGGCCAAGAAAAGGGAGGCCCTATCCTTTACACCTAGTGACATTTCTCCATTTGTCTATTGTCATAGCATTCCTCTTCAGGCAGCAAACGGACACTGTCAAGGAAAGAAGCAAACAGGGCAAGTGACAGATATAGCTGTAGTTGCTGGAGGTGGTGACTGGCTGAGATGCCTCTGATGTCACAGTAATGTTCAAGACTCCTCAATCTGCAGCACAGAATGGGAACTGTCAGGGGATGTTGATATGAAACTGATAAAACAGGTTTGGGGACAGTCTCTTTCCCACCCTGCCTATCAGCTGCCAGGCTGGCCTACATAAGCAATGATGTGTACAACCCTCTAGCTGTATCTGTTTATAACTGCAAAATAAAGAATGATTAATCAGAAACATAGAACGTGTTCTGACACACTGTTAACAAGGAGCCTATTTCCCAGTCTTGAAAAGACAGAGTGCTGTAATCAAAAAATTATTATTTATGGTAACTCTACTTGGAAGATTAAATGTCTTGGGCAATTTGGCCCTTTTCCAGGGTCAAAGAATATACTAATCAGGGTGGAGGTACATTTCTTCTGGGACACATGTCACTCACTCCTTGAAGCTCTTGGAGAAGACGTGATGCAACTTTGGCCAGCAGGCCTAGTTCAACTCTTGTAATTTACTATTAGTCTGTAAAGTAAGTACTGCAGCTAGCTCACAGGGATGTCTGTCTGTTTTATGCATGTAATGCTCACCATTTCTGAGACATGGCAAGTAGAACATTTATTTAAAATAAAATAATTTAGGTTTCCAGCTGTTTCACAAGGAGAGCTCTGGACTGGCCTTCTCAAATCTTGAGCGGTCAGAGGGGGGGAAAAAAAAACTTTTTCTGTGCTACATGCTCAGAGAAGGTTGCAGTTCTTTGGAGTGATTGTGTGGGACTTCTGGGTTCTACTGTGGATTCGGAAGACACAATGACCTAGAAGACCAAGGCTCCCTCACGTTACCACAAGACAACAAAAGAATTTGGAAGTTCTTTCCCTACACTGGGATTTCCCTAGATCACAGCTAAGCCAACATCTCGGAGATTGGTTTATCATTTGGAATAGCCAACAGTCTGTAAGCCATGTCTTTAGCAAAGTCTGAACTGGTGTAATCAATGGTTCTGGCCATCTTAATGCCATGTGATATTGCACCATGCCAAAGCTTCCACCAAATTTCTGTCATAGAGAAATCTGCTATAAACATCCTGAACTTTGCTGCGGCCAAAGGACTTGAGTTTTTAGGATGGTCCTAACAATTTTGTGAATGATAGTGGAAGATCACCATATCAAAGTCTGTCCTGAGATGAGAAAGCTTTAAAGTGGGCCACTTCTAGAGTGTTTCTTGGATGCTTTGATTGCCTCTTGGGAACAAGGTGATCTTTAATATCTTCCACAGCCACATGCCTGATCAGCTAATTAGTGAAAAAGGAAAAGACTCGCATTTCAATCCAGAGTGAAGAGGCCACCCACACAGCAAAATATTTCATAGCAAGGGGCCAACCCAGAACACAGAACTTCACATCAGCAGTTCTGGTCTCTGTTTCCATAGCTGAAGCACCATGGAGCATCCAACATCTGGAACATATGGCCACTTCTTCTAGAAACCATGACTGTTCTCAAAGGCATATTTACTAAGAGACCTCAGATCCAGGATGGGGCTGTAGCCATCTGGTTTTTTGTTTGCCAAAAGTAATCTAAAATAAAATCCAGAAGTAACCTAGAATAAAATCTTTTCCTCTTCACTAGGTAACACAGATTTGGTGGTGTTCTTT